GGGGCATGTGCTATTAATTTCCTCAGAATGTTAGGAGAAGCTATGGGGCTTATTTTCTGGGTGTTTTCTTTGAAGAGAACTCTTTCCTAACTGTGTGTCTCGGGAATGGGTGAGGAATGGTGGAAGCTGTGTGAAGTGGTTTAGGAGCCTATTATGTCTCAAAATATATTATAGTGAGAAAAGCATCCTTTTTCATATAAATACTTTTAACGTTGCTTTGGAGAAAAGAAGCAAATATTTTATGTGAATACTAATTGAAGGAAATTGTTCGTTTGCTACAGCCGTGATTTACCTTTGCTCCTTCTGTAGGGTCATTTATCACACACTTCAGAACATCCTTATATTTGACAGTGTAAATATTTTCTTACACATCTATCTGTGGTACATTCATGTAAATTAGTTACTTCTCTGCATACTACGAATGGTTTATGAGTATATTACACTACCACAAAACACTTTACCACTATGAATTTTTACTAGTTCAACTCAATGTAGTCTACAGATCAAATGCATTGCTTGATGCCAGCCACAACTTGCTGGCATCTCCCATCAGTTTTCCTTATTAGTCGCTTCTTTCCACAGTGTCATTGCAGAAGTCCAGGGGAAATGGCCCCTGGAGGTGCCATGGATCTAGTCCTGAAGACTGATGCCAGGCGAGGACTCCTTCAGGGTTCAGGCCAAGGAAACAGTTCATGCAGCAGAGAAAACCTGGTAAACCCATGGTCCTACGCAGATGGTCTAGGAAACTTTTGACTTAAGGCTAGCAAGGGGATATTTCTGCACAAGTGCTCTCAGAGAGCAGTCCTGGAGATCGGCAGTCAGTGAATCATGAGGAGGAAAATAGCACTCATCAACCTACCCCACTTCTGGCAATACCATCCCCCCTAACTGCTGTTCCTTCATCAGTACTGCGTAGTGAGGCATATTAGTTTAGCCTTTAAGATTTTCCTTCATTTATGCCATTTATAACATGTGGTCCTTAATTTTTGAGCTTACCCCATGGGGCAGAAAGCAAACAGTATGTGTGTTGGAGCGTTTTCTTTTCTGCTCCGGGCAGATAATTTGTTAGAGCAGATTTGCTCAGGTCTTCTGCAAAAGTCTGTTTCTCTTTGTATCTTATAGTTTAGTCAAAAGATTTAAATATCTACCTTCTGCATCAGTTCTTGTTTGTGGCTCATGCCTCGTGAAGTCTTAAAGCAGCCAAGAGAAAACGATTGGTATCAGTACTATTTTGGCCTATAGACCATCGGAAACTCTTTGTCTCTGCTATATTTTCTGAAGCTGCTGTGGTATTTTTTCCATTTCCTAGAAGTCTGGAATTTTTCTAGGCATGACTCATGTCTTCTGCATCCACTGATTAGTAAAACTGAGAACAGTTTCAAATACAAATGCTTGCAACCTGTTTCTGCATTTATATCTATAGATAAAAGCAGTCACTACTTTTTGACATGGTGTCAAACACTGCTGCTGTTGAAGTTGATGAGAGTAGTAGCTGTCATCGGCAACTGTGAAAAATGAGTGTTTTGTACAACAGTGATGCTGCTTGTATTTGGTAGTGTTAAAACAAGCCATCTGTATTGCAAGTGCTGTGCACATTTCCCTTTCGATAGCGGTCTGTCAGCTCATTGCCCAGAGGTTTATTTTCAGTGGGCCACATCAACCTCGAGGTGCTTAGTAACTTCTAAGACTGTGATTGACATATTAAGAAAAGAATAATCTGAAGAGTTTAAAGTAGAACTCGAAGCTGCATATAGTGCAGGAGCCAGTTAGCTCGGTCGGTTGAGCGTGGTGCTGATACCACCAAGGTCGCGGGTTTGATCCCCGTTCGGTCCCCATGTGTTGCCTGATATAGTTGAGAGGCGCCCCTGCCCATGACAGGGAGGTTGGATTAAATGATCTCTAAGGTCCCTTCCAGCCTAGGCCATTCTATGATTCTATCAGTCTCTGGTATGTCAGCATTTCCAGGAATGCAGCATCAGATATTGCACTATGCTTCTGAGGGAATGTTATTTGTAAAATTAAGAGTTACTGCCTTAAAAATAAAACACGACTTGTAAAAATATTTCAGTAGAAGGCCATTTGGACACAAAACAAATGTAACAAACCAAAACCAGTTCTGGAGTTAATCTCAGCTGGAGAACAATCATGAGGTTAAAACACCCCTCCTTTCAGGTAGTTGTAGAGAGCGATAAGGTCTCTCCTTAGTCTCCTCTTCTCCAGGCTAAACAGCCCCAGATTCCTCAGCCATTCCTCATATGACACATGCTTCAAACTAGCTTGGCAGCCTGTCTCCTAGCTTGATACCCTCTCCAGTACTTCAATGTCCCTCTTGTAGTGAGGGGCCCAAAACTGAACACAGTACTTCAGGTGAGGTCTCATCAAAGCTGAGCACAGGGGCGTGACCACCTTCCTGCTCCTGCTGGCCACACTATTCCTGATCCAGGCCAGGATGCCATTGGCCTTCTTGGCCACTGGGCACACTGTTGGCTCATGTTCAGCCAGCTGTCCATCAACACCCCCGGGTCCCTCTCTGCCTGGCAGCTCTCCAGCCACTCCTCCCCAAGCCTGTAGCACTGCTGGGGGTTGTTTTGGCCAAGGTGCAGGACTTGGCATTTGGCCTGATTGAAACTCATGTGATTGGCCTTGGCCCAGTGATCCAGCCTATCTAGATCCCTCTGTAGAGCCTCCCTACCCTCAAGCAGATCAACACTTCCACCTGGCTTGGCGTCCTCTGCAGACTTACTAAGGGTGCACTCTATCACCTTGTCCAAATCCTTGATAAAAGTATTAAACAGGACTGGGCCTTGGGGAACACCACGCGTGACCAACCGCTGGTTGGATTTAACTCCATTGACCACAACTCTTTGGACACAGCCATCTAATCAGGTTTTTACCCAGCAAAACATGTGCCCAGCCAAGCCAAGAGCAGTCAATTTCCCTAGGAGACTGCTCTGGGCAACAGTTGTTACAAGGCCAAATGCCTTACTAGGTAGAAAACATCCACAGCCTTTCCTTCATCCAACAAGTTGGTCACCCTGTCATAGAAGGATATCTGTAGATATGTTTTGGGGAAATTTCTAACTTAGATAAAAAACTAGAGGATAAGCAGTGGCGAAGTTACATGTCAGAACACAAATACAGTACATACATGCCGCAGCACTAATTGTATACCTTTAGAGACTCTAAGTTGTTTATACTGCAGTTTTCTTCCTTAGCCTTCTTTACTGATTTGCTTTGAGATTATTTCCAATTGGAGTATACATAAATACACTAAAATCCAACGCATAGAAAGTTACCAACAAATTTCAAAAGGATGCAAGAATTTCTGCATATAAATTACCTATTCACCTTAATAGACTTTTTTTTTAAAGCCAAATATCAGAATAGTGTCTCCCTTTGCTTTCAAGAGTACCATTTACAATCCATGTGTGTCTCTGTGGTTGCTTTCCATAGGTGCATTCTGCATGCCTCTCTACATCCCTTACAGCCTGACGGGGAAATGGTACTTGGGGAGAGGCGTCTGCAAGCTCTGGCTAGCTATGGACTACCTCCTGTGCACAGCTTCAGTATTTAACATTGTTCTTATCAGCTATGACCGTTTCCTGTCAGTTACTAAAGCTGTAAGTACCTTGTTTATAGCTTTGATTTTGCCATCCATTGGTGGATTATACTCACCAACATTTGCTATGTTGGTGAGCATAAGGCCAAATTCAGTTGAGATAATAGGCCTCAAAAATGTGCTGGCATGTGGACATTATTAGATATTTGCAGCTAGTTGTGGTGAATATTCTGCGTTGAGTATGCTTCGGCTCAGAATCTGTCAAACAGCACTTTTCTTGCAACTTCTGCTGAAGATTGCACTGGAAAGCCAAAGACTTAGCATTTACAAAGTGCAAAATTAAGTACACTTGGGCAAATCCAATGAAGACCTATGGATATTTATATGATATTCTTTCATGACATGAAATCATAATTCTTTTTTTTTTTTTAATTGGATATCTAAGCTCCTAGAATTATGCATTCACCCTGTCATCCTGTGAAGGGGATCTAGCAGGATGTAAGCTACCATGCATCTGTCTACTGTACAACATATACTGGGAAATACATACTGGCCCTGGAGTGGGGGGAAAAGGAAGAAAGGGGATGATTTTGTGGTTTCATCACCTAAGGGCTGTATTGCAGAGCTGAAATCTCTTCCTATGTCCCCTTGAAGCGTGCAATAAACAATTTTCTCAAAGGTAGGTGTCAAATGTGTCATGTTTTCTGTTGACCAGTGATGCATATAGAACTATTTACTTGTAAACTGCTGTAAAAAGCAGTGTGGTTATCAGTGAATGGGAGTCATGTGCTGAACAACTATAAAATGCTAATTACTCTAGTGCTTCAGATCACAGGTGCCCCAGAAAAGACATACCAAATTACTAGGCACTGATGGATGTTCATGTCTCATCACCTGGACCAGGGTCATCACACAGTTCCATTGACCTGTAGAGAGACATGCCTGTGTTACATCAACATAAATGAATTAAACGTATTTAGGTGAGCTTCAGCTGATTGGCGTAGCTGCAGCTCTAAACTACCAAGCATTTTGCTAAATTCCTTTCTTGCTAATTCAGTTGATTCCAAAATGTTTTCTCTATAAGTGCAACCTTTTCTGTTTTTGTGTTTTTTTTCTTTTACCTTGCAGGTGTCTTACAGAGCCCAGCAGGGAATAACATCTAACCCTGTCATCAAGATGGTGGCTATCTGGGTCTTTGCCTTCCTTCTCTACGGCCCGGCAATCCTCTTTTGGGAGCACATGGCTGGACGCAGCGTGGTAGCGGCAGATCAGTGCTACGCTGAGTTCTTTGACAACTGGTACTTCCTCCTGTGTGCATCCACTCTGGAGTTCTTTGTGCCACTGCTCTCGGTGACCTACTTCAACGGGCACATCTTCCATGACATCCAGAGGCGCCAGCGGCACGGCAGCACGGGGGATGGCGAGCCTCCGAGGAGCAGCAGCCTGTCCTGGAGATTTTGCCTCTTGCCAAGGCCGGGAGCATCTTCTCCGTCTGATGCAGAAGACAGTGTTTCTTCTTCCATGAGACCAAAGAAAGAGTTTTTGGTAACTCAGAGCTCGTGTCCATCCAGAGGCAATTCTGTAACCCCAGAAAATGACTCCTCTGTTTCTTTCTGTGTGAGGACCAGGTCAAAACTGCAGCGGGACAAGAAAGCAGCCAAGTCACTTGCCATCATTGTGTGTGTGTTTGCCATCTGCTGGGCCCCATACACTCTGCTGATGATTATTCGTGGGGCCTGCCAAGGAGAGTGTGTCCATAATTCCCTGTATGAGGTAGCCTTTTGGCTTTTGTGGATCAATTCCTCTCTGAATCCATTTCTTTACCCTCTATGTCATGATAGATTTCGAATGGCTTTCATGAAAATACTGTGTCCCAAAAATTTTGCATCATTGAGATCAAGCTCTTTTTAGGATGAAAAAGAAGAAAAAGGCTCAAGAGAAGCTGAGTGAGGGATGTAAATAGGCACGGTTTGAAATCAAATTTGGTGTCCTCCATGAGAATACTGTAGTTAGAAAGCCTAGATAAGCCTTCCTAAATAAGCCTCCTTCAGACAAACATGCATGGCCAAAATTCATATACTTTTTCCAGATATTTCAACTGGCTGATTAAAGGATATTGCCTCTGCCTGACTTTCCATAGTAGTCTATCAACATTATCTTCATTCTGGTTGTTGAAGATACTGTCTTCAGTTGCAGTACCACTTATATTTTTGATCATGGGTGGTATTAGTTAAAAATACAATAAATGTGGGTGTTCGCTGTACATTCAATAGTATTCCAAAGCTAATATATTTTCTATTTTATTTCTTGTGAACAGTTTGCACTGCATTTAGAAGCTTTTTTTCTCCTTATAAAATATCCAGTTATTTTATGATTTTTTTTTAGCAGGTGCATAGCAGGATTAATTCCTTTCACTAAGGATGTTCAGACATCAGGGGAATACAAGGACTACTTTTAAAAACTTGAGTGAAGGTGTTCTCTGCAGAAGGGCACTAATCTACGTACTTGCTCAAACGCAGCAGTAAAGAATTTAGGTGTGTAAAGTATGTATATGCACCTCCAGCTCTTCTTCGAGGAGCAAGTCTTCTACAGCTATAGTTTTGAGCGATGACAGAAAAGAGTAGTACTCGTTTTTACTCCTTGAGGGAGAAAATCTGCTGCTGTTGGCCCAGGGGAGAATATGTGTAGCAGTCCAAGCAGTTCTAACACTGCATAGTCCTCTCTGGATCAGACCAGGTGACTACCAAACCCAGCCTGGTCTTGTTCCACTATCGCACTCAGATGCTGAGGTGAAAATTTCTTTCTTGATAAAACCTCATTACTATTTCCTTTGATACCTTTTTTCTTTCTATGACATTTTTTTGGACTCATAGAGACTGAAACGTAAACTTACAAAGCCTATGATGTGGCTGAGATGTTTAAAGGAACGCATTGGCTTTTCTACCTCTTCTCCAGTATTGTCTGAATACACTTATCTGTTCTTTAGACTAGATGTAATCTTTTTAGCTGATGCCTGAACAGCACTGGGCGTTACAGGATCTTGGCCCATAAGCTGGATTTGTAATTATTGCTAGAAGTCAACAGATATATCCAAAGCAGGTTAGAACACAGAACATAAATGCCCAGTACATCCATTTGTTTTTTTAGAGTGCAGCATGTACTAGTATTTTACCCTGCAAAGTTTTTGTCATTCTTTTAAAATGCAACTTGTAAATTCAGTAATGTTGAACATGTGCAAACAAATCCTTTTGTGACAGCCTTAAGAGCAAATGGCTTCTTAATGCTTTTATGCTTTATAATTAAAGCTTTAATGCTTAGTAAGATATGTTTTTGACAGTGGTAGCTATAGGAAGTTAAAGATCTCATTCTGGTTAGCGTATCAAAAGGGTATCTGTGAAAATAAGCCTTCACCATGTGTAGATAAGGACACATACTCATCTGTCTATGACATGTTGGTTAGTCGGTTTTCTTGTCCTCTTCCTTGTTCCTTTCCTTTGCTTGATACTTGTACTGGCTTGGTCTCTGCCACAACTGGTCAGTACAGGCCAGTACAATATCTGAATGGTGATATCAACAGGGATTTATTTTTAAGCAGCCTGAGGCCTTGTGAACTCTGCGATGGTGCTCTGTGCAAGGCCTAGGAAAAGCAAGAAATTCACAAAAGGCAGCAGCTGAGTTGAAGTTAGTTGATAGATGATACCAAGCACAAGCCTAGCTCCCCTGAGGGGCAGTGGAGCACCTGATTCTGCCTCCATTTGGGCTTAATATGTATTAGAAGCTGCCAGAATAATTATTCTAACTGGACAATGCTTCTCAATGCAAACTTGGCTTTAGGGACATGATTCATTAATACCTCTGGCTTATTTCTGACACCCTTTACAGCCATACTCGGAAGTAAGTTGAGGATCTACTTGATCTTGTCTCCTTCACTTTTTGTGAGCTATTGTTAGTAGGGTAGAGGAGTAAGAAAGAAGGTTATGGGAGTGGTTTAGGTGAGAGCCTAGATTAGCCTCTTTCTTCTTCTGAAGTAGAAACTACTTCCAGAAAGACACAGGATATCTGTATATTGCACTCCTTATCCTTCAGCCAGGCAGCAGAAATATTTGGAACTGTCAGAGAGAGAGTTGGTGCAAAAAGATGCGATTGTGGCAGTGCCACCAGTGATCACTAGTTCTTGTGAAATGTGGGTCCCTGTGGAAGTTGCATAAATAATCTGGATCACAGACCTAAGCGCTGATGAAACTCTCCCTGCTCTGAACTCACGATCAGTGCAGGTCCTGCAAGCCAGGGCATCTGTGTTGATGTAAGTGCGCTGGTTAGAGGGAAAACTGATACTGCTGTCAAATGTAAATTTCATTTCTTCTTTGCAATGATGGAACTGTACGGCACTTTTCACATATGCATTAAATGAGTGACCAGAGAACTTCCTGTCTTTCTTATGCTTTAAAAAATAATACACCCTGTTTCAAAATACCAGAATGAAACTCTGCTTTGAAAAACAAAATATACTTGAAAATTGTTCTGAAAACGTATGAAGAAAATTTTTTTAATAAGGAGAATTCAGATGTGTATCTAAGTGCAAAGGTTAGAGTTGAATAAAAGACAATGTCATACTCTTTAGGACGTTCCCCGGGCATACTGGTACAGCTTTTTCACTAAGAGTGCCATAGATCTGATTGCTGTTCTCATTTACGTTGTTGTTTTCTTTCTCATTTCTTGTACTGTTAAGATATCTTTCTTTCCAAGAGATCTACACAGAAATGGAATATTCCCTAAATAAAACCTATTGTTGTTAACAGTCTAACACAACCATAAATAACTGCCCTTATACAAAATTTACCATTCATAAACTACCCACTGTTAGGGTAGAACACAGGGTTCTTCCATGTTATTGCTTCAAAACAGATCCTGTACCCGGTATTTCTCAAATGACAGTGCTGCCTTATCTTACAAATGCCAAACCCTAATGACTTGTGCTCCTAACAAGTATAAAGAGTCATAGCCGATTCCCTTTGATGGTGTGGAGGTTCTGGCACAATGTTTTGTAAGGGTTTTGAGAACTTGGATTAAACATGATGTAAAATGCAAAATTTTTATCTAAGACAAAGTGGGTGTTGTTTTTTTTAAAATAATTATAAAGATAGAAATTTAGACATTTTAAGCAAAGAAGCAAAACAAAGTTATCCAGACAAGAATAATCAAATTCCTACTTAGTCTTGTTTTCTACCTCTGTGCATTTATTTTAGAAACAATATTTTTTAAGCAGTGTTAATAAAGTGACTTATTTTTCCCAATGGAAAAATAAGTAAAAGGCTATAGTGTCTGGATTTGTGTATGGCAAGACAGCAACGGCATCATATAATGACAGAAGATGACTGTGGAGTTCAATTTTTCTTACTGTGCAAAAGGGACTGCTATGTTGAACAGAGGTGAAATTAGACTGTCTCCTTCCTTACATGAACAAATCTAGGTATTGCCCTCTCAAGACTTTTCTCCTCTAACTCTTTTTTCAGGATCTTACTACTATACTTCAAGCTGGATCAAGCTTTCTTGTCTCTAAGTGTTTGTGCCAATCTTCACTCATTTGCATACTTTCTCACTCATTTTCTTTCCTTACTAAACAACTCTGCCCAACATTTTTATCTTGAGTATGTTTGCTGTCTTTCGTTTCTATGTTTTTCATAGGAACTCTCCCTTACCACTTTGTCTTTGGACCAATTGGTTGCAACAAGACTCATAATAACCAATAGTGACTTTTCACTGATGTATTCTCCCTGGAGCTGTGGAAACTTTTAAAATCAGCTGCCTCCTTTCCCCCATGTTCTGTAGGACACGGTACAATGATTTGTGTTTCTCCTCTACACTGATGTCTCTTGGTCACCCTACCTAGGTCTGACCGGGGAAGCAACACAATCCCTCCCGAGATCATGCGCTTATTTCTCACTCCTAGGAGGGAGGACAGTCACGCTGCTGCGTAGATGCTTTGTGACACAGGAGGCCAGCTTTCCCCAACCACTGCCAACGAAATGAGAAGCTTCTCCAGAGCGTGATTTAGAGGAGGGACTTGATTTTACCCTTTGAGGCAGTGGTTGAGAGGGCCTGTTCACCCCCGAGTATGCGTGTGAAGGCAGGCGCTGCAAGTTCATCTGCTGATTTTCTTTACGATAACGTCTCACAGAAGCCTCATTTGGGGGATTTTTTCCCCTTCCTGTTCCAACTGATGTGCACCTGCAGGTGTCACTGGTGCTACATAGTATTTTTAAACCTTGCAAACCCGTGGGCTTTTCGAAAGGTGCTATTTGCATGTACAATCCTGCATGATATGACACCAGCATCTTTTTGCTAAAAACGCCACCAGATCTGTTATATTACATCTAATATTTACTCAGCTGCAGAAAAGATTAGGGGAAAGGCTTATTACTTTCGCAAAGAAAGGAGGTCTTTAGTCATACAGATAATCATAAGTCAGTGCAGGGCTTCTTCCTAAATTGCTCTGCATAGAAATTGTCCTGTGCTCTGCATTTCAAGCACAGCCTTCTGTTGTCAGTGGAAGAAGACTTGAGAGTCCTACTGAGCTGAGAACACGTCCTCAGCATTGGCTCATCGAAAAAATGTGTCCTCTTCTCTGATGATATAAAAATCTTTGTTCTCATGATTGTTTTATGCCTATTCTGATTGTGGACTGCTGCTAAAAAAGCTGCCCAGCTCTCCTACCCTTTTTGGTGTTGATGCTGCTCCTGGCCCTGTGGTCCTGCCCTGCTGCCATCCTGGGTGAGAGTGCGTGCAGCTGTACAGGAAATTCAGCCAATCCAGACGAGAAGCAACCGTTAATTCTGTTTGGCTGGTTAGTCTGGGGTAAGTATCTAATCTAGATCATCACATAATCACAGAATTGATAGCTGCTGGTGTAA